GGTTTCCGAAGCGGCTAAGACTTTGGATATAAATATCCAGAGAACTCAACCACACGAAAAATATGCAAGAGACAAGTTCGTTATACTGATCAACCATTGAATCCACGGAGGTACGCTAACAGATTTGATAAATCTGCCTGCAGATCCAGCCTGACCATATCATGTCTTCAATAAGCCATAGATGTGACTAATCGAGCGGCGTAATCGATCGCACTACTAAAGTACACCATTTCTGGATCAAATTGAGAATTTCCCACATCAAAACGAAAACTGCTAAGATTGAAACGAGAGAACCTATCATCCCATTACCTTTGGTATTTAAAAGCGTGTGCAGAGCCTTTGACTTGTCGACTGTAAAGTGCCTCAAATCTCATCCCAGTAACCGATTAGACGGGACACTTCGTCTTTCTCTTCGACATTCTTGTTTTGGATCGGAGCTGATTTTGTTTTGATCTAGGAAATTCTCAACTTGATCCAGAAATGGTGGATGTAATCGATCGCAATATCGATTAGTCACATCTGAGCTGCCCTCATCAAAATTTGTTCCACTGTATCTTAATGGTAGGGCTCACCTTAGACCATTTCCCTTGCTGTCAATGACTGCACATTTAATGACAACAGTACGGCAGGCATGATAAATGCGCTCTACTGTAGAGCGGTCTGTTTGTTAAAACGAATTTATATTCATTTTTAGAAATTGAAGTATATTAAAAAAAAATAATGAAATGAGTGGGCGAACCTAAGCGAAATTTTCGATTCTAGCCGAGGACGAGCGACAGATAAGCAGGTTGAGGGTGCTTAACACAGCTGAGTGCTGGCAGACGATACAGGATAACATGCACGACTATCGTAGACTACAGGCTTGCTTCCTCCTAATCAAGTCAACTCTCTCTTATGACGTGACGTCGTCAAATTCATTTCGAACATGATGCGTTTGCTGTTGGGCTTACTCAAAAATTCTCTACACACCGGTGCAGAAGTCTCATTTCTTACAAACACCCCGCTACAATAAAAAA